ACGCATTTTAGCAAACATCTTGACTTCCATAGCTCCACTCCCACTATCAACTGAAATGTCGAAGCATTGCTCGGCTCTGAGTGACCCTTGAGATTACGACCCCCCCTCCCCAGCGGCCAAGTACGACCCCCCTATGGGTTTCGCACAACGATGCTGTACCCTGTCTATGAGTGGCGCCGCGGCAATGCAACGGCAGCTGACCGCAACATCAACACTGCATTAGGGGAGGACATCGCTACCATCAGGACTGTCCATCGCTGGTTCGCTCGCTTCGCGAAAGGAGACACGATCTTCGAGGACAAGACACGATTCGGAACGTCCCCACGAAAAAGGAATATTCCACCGTTCTCACATTTTCAAAGTGGATCCAGAGGCTACCACCCGCAGTCTTGCGACAAGACTCGGGTGTACCTAACTGACAGTTGTCAACCGCCTGTAAGCCTGTCGGCTATCGAAAAGTACTGGCTCGATGGATCACTCATACCATGATGGATGGCACGCTGTGCACCCGGGTACCCTTAACAGTCACCCTTCTCAGCCCTCGTCGAAAGGAGTTTTTTGAAGACTGCTTATGGAGATGCGAGATGGATTCTCCATGATCCAATCCACGCAGTACCGTGTGACTCTCTCAGGCAGACAACCCGTATTAGCAGGCCGAACCGGACATGCTCTCCAAGAAGTCTCCTGTGCTGCTTTTGGGAAGATAGGGGAATGCTGCACACCGAGCTGCTCTGTAAGAACACACGATCATCGCTCCCATTTTTGTGCCGCTCAGTTCCAGAAATTGTTGAAGAAGAAGGTCCAATGCTAGCTTCGGGGCACCTCGTCAAGGTGACGCGAGACCCTGTATGGATAGCTACCAAAAAATTTGGGAACAAAGTTGGAAGATTATACCCACCATATTCTCCTCATATTAGCTCCTGCGACTGCTACCTGCTCTGCCTCATTAAGGATTTCTTGCTAAGATAACTATCAGCAAGTTTTATTACACCACTCGCCGACTTCTTCGACTCGCAACCTCCCCAGGTCTAGCATCAGGGGATCACTGATCTGCCCATCAGTGGAAGCACAGTGGTGGCTATCAGTGGTTATACTATGGATTAATTTTAATTGGATGATGAGTGAGTGATGAAAGGTGAAAAAATCACAACGGTACCAAGACTTTCTTTCTAACCTGAAAGTTCATTCGGCGTCGACTGATATCACCTCTGTGTACCGTGCATCCTACTCCCACGCAGGGTTTTTTTGAAGGCGTAATGTAAGTATGTATACACGGGCTTCTCTGTGCAAGCGATGTGCCCCTACCTTTCAGAAATGCTCGAAGGTATACTGCATCTTGTATGATTACTAATTCATGATGTCGCTGTGGGTGGCTACCGTTCTCCCTCTCATCGCCGTTCCCAGTTCTGAAGGTGCAGTTTGCCTCTGTCTTCAAGTGTCTCCTCAAGTGCTTTTCCACAGCAAAAACCATGAATAAACCATTTGTCACACAGTGACTATGCCATATCTGAGTACAGCTGCTCTTATCCTTTCTGTATAAGTCCTGTGCTTACGACCCTGTCCCTCGTCAGATACGACCGCTCTCCCGCTGTGATTTCCATTACGATTGCGTGCCTCTGGCTGCAACGAGGTCGTAAGTTGTACACATAGAGAACTTTTACCAAAACAGCTATTGCGTTTCAAATTTAGTAATGAACAAAAATAGTACCCAATATTTATTGCACGACTTTGTGTCTAAGATGTCCACCAAACCATAAGCAACAATACTCTCCACCTTGATGATAAGATTTAAGCTAGTAAAACTAATATCATTCATTCATTACGCAAGGCAGAACTTCACATCTACTGATTCAGAGGTGTTTTACAAAAGTTTCTTCTGATATAAAGCAATGCAGTAACACTTACAAATACAAGAACACGTCTATAATGCTACCAGATTGTTAATTACCTCTACACATTCTCTCTCTACAAGTTGGAGTTGGACACATTTCTTACGGCGTCATCGATGGCTTTTGCCACATGCTCGACATTTTTCGTTGTCAGACCGCACACACTAATACGTCCATCCTTCAGCAGGAACACCTTGTGCTTCTTCACCAGATGGTCAACTTGGGCTGCTGAAAATGATACTCTAGAGGATTAAGTGTAACAAGGAGTATTTTTCTTATCTATCCTCGCTGCGGATGAAAGGTGGTATCAGGCAGTACGAGTGTGCCAGCTGCTAAAGCGGGTATGCGAGAAGAATTGGGTGAAAGCGAGCGATACAAACAATATGATGCAGTCTTGTCACTTGCTCGTTCCAACAGTTGGTGGAAAAGGGGTTGGGCACTGCGCCAAAATCATACCGCCTGACACACCCCTTTGTCCGCAGCGAACTAACCCGTCAATGAAACTATTCCATAAAGAATTATTGAACACTGTCTATGCCTGATCTCGCAAGTGGCAGACACCTCTCTCCAACTACAAGCGCTTTTATGATTGTGAATGAAGAAATCACCTTCGTATGCTGCTGCGTTCTGTATAGCAGAGGTACGTTTACTATTGAAATGTTCACTCGCGATTTTCAACGCCCAGCCCCTCCCCTCCCTCCGCGCATTTCTCGTATCCCTATGTATTAGCGAAGGAGAAAAACCGAAGCTACTATGTCGAGGTTTACGATTGGCAAAAACTGAAGGCGTTTGACCATAACCCCTGTACCCTCCTTCAGCACAATTCCCGACTCTCTCACAAGTCACCACCAGGAGCATGGAGAGGACCACATCTCCGTTTCAGGATGCATTCTGAGTGCTTATGTGACTTTGATAGTATTTCTTGGAACGGCTTAATTCATTCTTGTATGGTATTGCGCGCCTTTATCGCTGCTTATGCTTTGCACTTTCGTCCAACACTCGAAATCGACCGCAAAAGGGAGGGGACTGCTCAGGGACGGTTTCTTCTGCCTAATGTTGCCCAGCATCTCTCATCGTACAACCTCGGCACTATCGCTTGGTTCGTTTTTCTCTTCTTGAATGGCTAGTGACTAGCACTTACACTTTCCTCTGTGAACAGCACTACTTACGCCTTGTAGGCGAAAAATCTGTTAGAATAGGAAGGCATCCAAAAGCCAGTTATAGCCGCTTCTATAAAGTCAGCGAAACAAAATGGTGCGCGCAAACGAACGGATTGGATCTGACGACCACCTTTCCGTTAGTTGTCGCTGGATAACACGAACGCTTTCAGAATGCTCTCCAATCAAGCATAACCAACCGTTAAGACCAGTGTAGCTGAACATTCCGATTTGTTGTGTTATATGACTCCATGAGCCGGGTGTTCCAAGCTTCTCTAGATGACTTCGAAGAGCCTCACGCATCTGTCTGATTCTTGACGACATAGTCTGGAAACATCCAATTTTTCTGTCCTTTACATACAACCTATTTCACAGAATTAGGATCCAGTTTGAATTTTCACTCAATTTTTACACAGCGATAGTTTCATTTCCTAAAAATTTGTTCCTCCGAGAGCATTCACCACCTGCACATGAAGATGACCTCCGTTTAATATAAAACGCCTTGTCTGACGAGGAAACGGTGCTCGCTTTGAACGAGTACATGTATCTCATATTCGTACTTAAACGATAAAACAACCGCTAGAGACAAAGTTTCAGTAGAATTGAAATGAAATCCGAACTTC